CTCCAGTGGGAAAGGCTCCATTCATGTCCCAGACAAACGGCTGCTGTAGTCACAGGTATCAGTGTCTCTAGCTCCTACACGGAACCATGACACACAGGTGGACGATCCCGTTTGAGGTGAATAATTATCCATGAAATCAACAGAAACAGTTTATCAACATACATGACCTAAAAGGATTAGAATCACCACGAAAGTCATCTTAGTCTTTCCAAATTACATGACATGTCATTTAGCTGACGCTTTTATCCAAAGTACATTAAGTCCATTCAAACATAGGGATACAAACTCAGAGGCAATATCAAATAAGCCAAGTTACAATTTGCTATAGATAAGTGCCATTATAAGTACAATTTAAGTGCTACAATTTGTAGCCTTCATGTCACGGATGCGCCCCTCACAGCTCGCACACGTCCCTTTGTGTCTGAATTGTAAAACATGCTCTTTACAAACTCCACAGAGACCACCCAAAGATTGACTTTCAATTTTGTAAATCTTAATTGATTTTTTTTTTTTTTTTTAGCAAAAATATGAAAAGAAAAGTAACCACGGTAACATTTGCACAGTGGAACGGGATTCACCAGAAGATGAAACAAAAAAAGGCAAAGAAGGCCATTGCCTATTTCATGTTTTCAAATGTTTAAATGACCACGTATGTACGGGCTGATTTAGGTTAGTACACTGTACACAAATAAATGAGAGAACCAAATATTCTTTTTCTAATGTGACATTGTTGAAATGTTTGAACCTCTTTCGTGTGCCAAGCTTGAAATATGCACCCTTAGACTGAAAGTTATTTATTGGCAAAGGCCCAGATGAAAAGTCTCCACGGATTGCATGTTCAGTAATATCAGATCTATTTTTTGATCTGTACATTTTGATCTGTACTGACCCTTTTATTATTACATTTTAGAAAAAAACATCTTGTAACACATGCCAATACAAACCAGTTTTTGACCGCTTATTTCCTTTATAAGTTTCATAAATTCTGCTGTCCAGTCCAAGAATGCAGCAGCAATGAAAGGTTTCAAAGACGGAGATGGGAGGCAATAAAGGCGAATAGAACCATGACTTCACAAAGGAAAGGGTGTGCCAACATGACCCAGCCGGGCCGTTGAGCAATCATTTAGGTAACAAGCACACATCCTTGCAGCCCCTCTGCGGTTTCCGGACCAGCTGATAAATTGCGGCATTATATTCTGATCACGGCTCGTCCCTCTCTAACTCGTTTTACAGCCCTGCATCGCTGCTGTCGCCCACCAAAGCCATCCTCCGCACTAGTTAGGAATCACTCTCTCCGTCTGCCTCCATCACCCTCGCTCTCCTCCTCACTGACTGTCAGCGCGCACTCCGCCGCCGCTGTCGTCTCCGCGGCCCCGCGCACTAATTCAGATGCACTTAGCGTCGCTTCGGCACACGTGTTTGCTGTCGCCGGAGTGATGCACGGCGTGAATACCTATTCGCAGTGAAACTCGATAGTGCCAGTGGCGTTTTGGTGGCTCCCCGCCGCTGTACCCTACAGAATACCAATGCGTGTGCGCGTCCGTGTGCGCGTGGCGGAGGGCGGGTCGGGCTCCATATGCCTGAGACGCATTCTCCCAAAACTTCAAGGTGAAGACAAAGGGAAACTGATAACGATGTGAATTGTTGTGACAGATGTCTGAGCAACCCCACCACCACCACCTCCTCCTCCACCACCTCCACCCCAGTGATGAACACACACACGGCACTCGTCTCAGCGCTTATTAGAATAATCGCTGCATTTCTTATCATGTTTCATTCCCAGTAATGTCCCGATTATTCCTTATCAAGCAACAAACACCTCCTCCTTATTTCTGTCTGGCGTGATGAAGACTCCCAATAACCGGCACGGAAACTTTCATTTCCAAGGAAGATCATTTTTATATTTGTTTTGGTTCTGCAGAGGACTCTACAATCCATATTGTTGGCATTTGGACGGCTGCTTGTTTTAATGTGCATGTGGAATAATGCAGGTGTTCAACCCTTCATCCACGATGTGCACATGTCTCCAAAGGACCACCTTCTCGGACAATTCATCTTGTGTTTGTAGCCTCCGCGCTTTTGAAATGGGATGCAGCCTTCGCACCGGCAGACCCGTGTGTTCTGGGAGTGAATAAAAACCTCACTCGATGTAAACTGCTCAGTGCTTCACGTAGATGCAAATGAAAAAGCACAGGGCCTTCTGTCATGCATATTTAGAGGCAATGAATGGTAGATAGGAGTATGAAGTGCAGCGGGACTTTCAGCTAAATACCCACCGGCTGGTGCCCTTTGAATATTCCAACTGAATCCCAGTGGAGGTCATGTGTGAAATGAAATGGTGAATTACAACACAAGTTAACTACTTCCACCCCTGCACCGGTACTCCCGACATCAGGTCTGTGCAACAAGACCATCCACATGTCTTTGGAAACATATTTGTTGTAGAATATGCTAAATATTGCAGCGGGTCACTTTTTATTGATGTGACAGTATATCGGCATTAAAAAAATGTATTATTCTCCTGTGAAAAATAACTTGCCTTCAAACAAGAGCGAGGGGTGCAGATAATCCAGAGGGTTGTTAATGGATGACACGTCACGTGTAATATCCCCAAACATGGAGGTGTATGAGTCTGACGGGTCGTGTGAGAGTAGCAGAGCGAGCCGGACCTTCGGAGCTCCTCATCATACGTGTTTGCTTTGAGCCCAGCGAGAGTCGGCTCAACGTGACTCCGTGGTGATTCATCCCGCCCCGTAATGACATTGATCCGGCGCCTAATTGAGACGCAGAGACGCAGAGAAGGAGCGCGGCTCCTCCTAATCCTCAGTAAGCAGGCTAACCTTCATTACTGCCGTGACATTTTCCCGTGGGCTGCTCAGAGGACTCTCCGACATACGGCAAGCCGGGCGTGCTTCCTGAGTCCGGCGCTCACCAGGAGCCTCGAGGGGGGGGAGCTGCAGCTGGGTGGAGAAGACTGATGTAGGCCTTGAAACGCTCCGCAGATCGACTCACTCTAATACATACATGTGAGATTTGTATTAATACGTCAGATGTTCACTGGAAATTAGAATTAGAAATTAGAAACACAAATTAAATAAAAACAATTTAAATGCATTAGAAAACACAGGAAGACCAATTAACACTCATTGTGACACCCACCCCGCAAAGTTAGATAATTAAAAAATGATAATAAAAAGATAATAAAGGGGCTCCAGTCCAGGAGGCGCCGCACATCTCAAACAGGAAATGAAGTGAAAAGCCAACTATAGAATCCCTCTGCAGATTGCCCATCGCTGATGGATTCATTGTCAGTAACAAACTTTTGAGTGCAGTTTTTGAGGACATCGGCTCCGAAAGAGGCTTCATCCTCACGTCCTTCAAAGATACACAATGTGTACACGTTTGACACTCATCCCTCTGTTTGATCTTCCTTATTCAAGACAGAATGCAAGTGATTTTAGCGTTGATATTGACTTCCCTACAAACGGTTATTTCTAAAAAAAGTGAGTGTGATACAAGTGCTGCTGCTGGAAATGCGTTTCTCATCTAAAAGCGGGAAAAGACATTACTTAAGAGAAGCAGTGGGAGGAACAGAAGCCTCCGAGGCTGAACGGAGAAAGAATGGAGCGCCACCTACAGAGACTTTTTAAATCACGGAATACGTTGAATAGAAATGACAGCACCACCCACATTGATATGCAAGTGATTTCTCTGGTACACGCTCACAGTGCTCTGCTTAGTCTGTCTGGATGAGCTGGGTTTATACAGTTTATTGTCTCCATCACTGTGGTGATCTTTTCTATGTACAATATGTATCTGTATTTGTACATATTATGAATCCATTCACTCGTTAACATATTAACACATATGAATTTAATTATTAAATATACTTCGGAAAATATCCCTCCCTGATATGCTAATAAGATTTACAAGGTCCCCCCGCCTTTCATCATTTTGTTTTCCCCCCCGTTGAAGCCTTTACGGGCATTCATAAAGAACCACACCATTAGGGCCGGGGGGCTCCACAGTACAGTAAGTGTAGCGTTAATAAATCATGTTTATTATGAAGAGACGTCCGAACAGGGCAGCGGCCCACGTCATAGTCCACAGCCCGCAGGCGTGAATATTTAGGGACATCTGGAAAAAGCAAGAGTAACGTTGAGGCGGCTCAACAATTTATGATGTGTTGGTGGGGGGACAGACCCACCTTTAGAGGCTGGGACGGGGGAGGGCGTGGGAGGGGGGGCTACAAAGGGCCGAGCCCTGAGGACGAGAAGCATGCAGTTCAGGTTAGATGCGTAGGCTGCAGGACATGAGAGATGGTCACACCTTCATGACTGCGTCAATGTCTGGCCGGATGGACAAGAGAAGGATAAATGAGAACTTAGAGTTTTGCTTCATTTCAACATGCATATTTATGAACATGGAATGTATGATGTTGAGGCACATCCTCACTCTGCATTTCTGTTTCCGCTTGTTAAATGCATACACTTTATTTCTTTAAAATCTTATTATATAAAGAAAAATTCCATTTAACAGCAAGAGATGAAACATTTCCTGAACTGCATTTTAAGTGGGTTATTAATAACACTTTAGTTCAGGTAACAAACTAATATATCTGTCTTTTCCAAATATGAGTCTTGTGTAATTTGTTTTAGTTTAGAGCTATTCCCTGAAATACTAATCTACTTTTTTTCACATTACAGACAGCTCTACATTAAATATTGACTTTTGATCCAAGCGATTCGTTTGTATAAAAGCATAATCAGCCAGCTGCTTGTATGACAGCAGGTCTCCTCTGCTCTGCAGGATCTGCAAGAAGCGGATGTTCCTTCTTTAAATGACAGCGTGTCAGTCGGTCATCTACAGTGCAGCACGTGACTGCTTCACATCCAAGTGTTAATATCGCATATTAGAGAAGGAGAGAAAGGAACAGTGATCTAAATGAAAGCGTGCTTCTCTGTTGTGTATTTAACAGCTTGTTTGTGCCTTCTATGCAGATGGAGGTGGATGCAGACGACAAGCACCACAGAACCCGCTCCAAAGGTATATACACACACACACACACACACACACAGCGGCACGGCCACTCAGGGTCACCTTCACCACCAATTCTGGACTGCCAGAGTTGAGTTGCATCCTCTCTCTCTCTCTCTCTCTCTCTCTCTCTCTCTCTCTCTCTCTCTCTCTCTCTCTCTCCCGTCTCTATTTTGAAATATGTTGCTGAATCAGAATCACAAACTCCACATTACACATTAAATTGATTTTAACTTTTTGAACTGATTTGATCATTTGGCCAATAAACTTAATCCGAGTCAAACTCCTGCAGGGGGACTTAACTAAGCTAAGGACTCCACTTGACTTGACATCTCCTGTAACTGAATTAATCTGTGCATTAATTACTTAATAAAAACAAATTAACTAATTCATCTCACATTTTGAAATTCATAATATGGTATAATCGCGACTAAAACCGGCATGAATTAGGAGCAGTTCAGTGTCTCTGAGAGCCAGTTTAGCTGTGAGTGTTGGCGGGAGAACATCAGCGGTCTTCTCTAGAGTTGGTTCATGACATAATAGGTCATTGCTCCTAGAAACAACAGAAAGACTGAGGAAGTTCACCGGCCCTCATCTGACTCTCACGGCATCAAAGGCCATTTCTGAATCAGAGGATGCATATTGAATTCCCTTCAACACTAGGACGTGTCAGCCATCTTTGACTGAACAAAGAGCGAGGTGCTGACCATTGCTCCTACATTGAGTGGATGAGAACCCCCCCCGATGGATTGAGTCTCCTGGGTCCTCTGTCTGTCGGCCCAAGACACGACTCAGGTGTGAGTGGAGGACTGACAGCTTCTTTGGGGCCGTAGGACCGTTGGTTTTGTCGTGAGCACTTTTTCTGTAACAGGAAAGTGATCTCTTTGTTTTTTTTAGTGTGTGATTTTCAACCAGAAGTTACAGACAGTGTAGAGTGAAACGTAGAGGCTTATAGGAGGTCCTATAAAACCTTTGTTGGATATAAAATATTCACAGGCGAGCGTTTCACATTTTTGTGTTGTTTATTTTTCTTGTGTCATCCAAAAGTTTCCATTAGCAGAAAAATAGTTTTGAACAATTAAAGAATTAGAACAGTTCTGGTAACAAAACGTGAGTTAATGTAACAAAACGTGAGTTAAACGTGAATAAGTGAGTTACAAATATAAGCATTTACATAATAATGTTTAATTTAAATTACACATTTTTCTTGAATAGCACAAACAGAGTGATCACATGTGCACAGTCCTGTAGTCCCGTACTATTTCTACACACAGCAAAGAACCAATCATTTTACTATGAACTGTTTCAGAATAAGGCTACACACTACTTTTAGAGAAATGCATATTGCAGGACCAATTTATAATGTTTTAAAAGTACCAAATCAACATCAAGGATATGTTCTAACTTTTCACATTTTAAGCTGAAAGTGTTTCACATTTCATGGTAAAGCTCCACAGATCTCAAGTCCCAGTGATCAACTATTCAGCAGCTTCCTTTCCATGTGTTACACAAAGAGCCTGTGGTTTACGGATGCACAGTGTCATAATCTCTCCCTCTCCCTCTCTTAGTGCCTGTGGATCCAGTCTTAACACAGCTTTTCAGGTCAGTGCGATTGAAAATGTGTATGCACGCTCGCACGCACACACACGCACGCACACACACACACACACACACACACACACACACAGTGGCCGACTGCTGTCTTGGTGGTGAGGTAGAGGCAGTCGCTCACATCAGAGGGCTCTGATAACACTTCTTCCTCTCTCTCTCTTGCTTGTTCTCTACGTTTCTGTGTCTTCGGCCACACAGAGAGACCTCAGTCCTCCCCTCCTCCCCCCCACCTCCCCCTCCTCCCCCCCCACCTCCCCCTCCCGATGTTTCGACGTTCTTAACGTCACAAAAGCTGATAACCGCAAAACTGAAACGAAATACATCCGATTCCTTCTCTCCGCTGGTTGTTACAATTTCCCCCTATGAAATATTAAATGAGTTTCTCATCGTTTAGTGATTCAACTAAACAGGCCAAATTGTTCAGTTTTTGTCTCATGTGTTTGATGATATTTAGCACGATGGAACATTATCAATCCATTAATGAATGCAGCGGCGCTCTTCCTCCCTTCCTGCAGCCTTCACATTCCTGAGGTGAGGGGGTGGTTCACGGTTTTCTTTGTCACTGCAAAGGTTCCCTGCATCTGTGTTTGAGAGGTATTGTCCTTTTTTAAGGAACGGTGTGAAGGGAAGAGCCGGGTAAAAAACATTGCTATGATCATTTATGGTCTTAAATGTGGACACAAGATTTTGGCCTTGATGAAGATAAGCTTAGCTTAGCTTAGTTGGACTTTTCCTTTTTATTACAGGATTGTCTCCATGCTCAATATTATCACTGGCATCGGTGTTACTTTATCACATGTCACAAGATATAAATGTCCGTTAAGCTTTTCAAAAATGAATAATAATTCCTCACCACTCTGACCAAAGACGGCTTGACTGGGGGGCTCAACCGAGGGGGGGCGAACGATGCCCAATACGTTAAAAATAGCCTTGTTGCCCCATCCAAATGCACTGGCAGCCCCTCCCAAGCAGTGGCCCTAATGGAGCGCTCACACTGGCGTCGTAGCAGCTTATTGACTGATGTTCCTCACAGTCTCCGGGGAGAATGGGGAACGTAGCCCAAAGGATCCGACGGGAGTTCATTAATGTGAGCCGCTCAGCCTGCCCGTCCAGCTGCATCCCTGCATCCCATACATGTACACCTATATATTTATATATACATGGAAACAGTCAATCATTTGGAGACATTTCCCATTGGATTGAAATGTGTCCGACTTTTGACTGGTGCTGTATATGTATTTTTATTTGTCTGGTGAAAAGTGTAACCTGGATACAGCAGTGGCTGTTTCAGTGTCCTCTACTTGTCTTTGCAAGTTGTTTACACCGCAGTAATGTGTGAATTTAATTGTGTCCTTGGCTGCGTGGTAGGGGGCTGTTGCAGCTAAGATAACGCTTCATCCCTGCCTATATATCAATAAAATATTATTCCACCTGGAAGATTACTGTGTAGCCTTTAGCTGATATTCATAGATTGTACAACGTGTACTCTCCCTCCTCTCCCTCGTCTCTCTGCTCCACTGTCTCACCTTCCCCCCTTTTCCCCATTTTCTACAGTTCTCACCTCGCCTCACTTCCCCCCCCGACCCACACACACGTACTCTGCTGCCGCCGCCTGCAGACAGTAATTAATCAGGCGATCGATGTGAAGCCTATCTCCGGGCTGAGGCGTCTATAATGCCGATAATGCCGCTCGATGGCCCCTCTCCCCGGAGACCTGATGGTCTTCAGGACGAACGCGCTTGACTTTGCGTGCAGCAGCCGGCTCTGCTTCAGATCGGCTGCCCCGCGACGCCGCGCGTGCAGGTCATCGCATGCCCTACTTGTATGCAGCCATGTAACACGCAGCCAGCACACGCAGGAACGGGTGGAGAACTATGTGCGATGATGCTGGAGAGACAGACGGCCAATCATGGGCGTCGAACAACAGCATTCTTCATACGTGCTAACTGGATTAGCTCGAAGCCATTTTTTGAAAATGACATATGAGTGAGCTGGTGGTCGGCACAGCCGTCCGTGTCCGTTACAAACTCTCCACAATTTAGAGCAAAACTAACGACTCCTTTCTTTCCGTAGCAGCGCCAACAAGCAGTGTTCATATGGTTAGATGATACATTATTAATCAGTCACTATCACAACTCACTCACCGAAGGAGATGACACAGTGTTGACTGAGCCTATTGCAATATGTAGATACTAGCAGTGTTACGAACTGGATGTGGACTATATTAAAGTGTCTCGCCTTTTGTAGAAACTCTCAGTCAGACAGGACCGAAATCTTAAGGACTGGTACAAAAAATCTATATGAAATAGTATCGGTCAGCGTGTCCGTGTGCGAGTACTTCGTAAAATGAAGTAAAGCCGCTCATCGCTCGTTTACTCCGGGGAAGTGAAGGAGCGTTGGTTGTAAGGTTTGAATACCCAGCATCCAACAGCTAGATTGAAGGCAGCCAATGAGGCGCAGCCCATAAAGACCCACTGCAGACTACATGCTCCACTCGGCCTGCAGAGCCCTGAAGCCCCCCTGCTGCACAAAACTATTTTATTCAGACCGAATCCATATTGAACGTGTCCCGTTTTCCAAATTGCACATCCCAGGGTCCCCAGCAACACACCCACCCAGTGTGAAGTGGATCCGCAGATCCCTTTCCTCGTGCCTAGATCGGTGCACGTAGTACCGGGTGCAGGAGGAGAGGCGAGAATCAGCTGGAGCGGCGAGTAGGATGACAAGGGGAGGGGCACAGTTTGGAGAGGCCGTCCCCCCAGCTGCCCCGTGTCTGCTGGACGGCAGCAGCCACACCGGCAGATATTAAGGCTCCTGACATAAGCGTCAGTTACAGGGCTGGATTTATTTTATGAAAGAAAAATAACATAAAGATAAACTGAGAGACATTTTCTATATTGTGCCAAGGGTCTTTTATCAAAGACAGCGTGTCAGTGATGGGTACAGAGCTCTTTAGTGTCAATGTGTAATTTTCCCCCCCCCCACTTTTTTGGTCATTTTCCACACCCGGCCGGTGTAATGGGGTGTTTTTTAGGGTGCTCGCGCCCTGACAAACCCCCATGGTAGGGCCCTGGGGAGACAAATGGCCCCCATGCCCCCTATTAAGACCCCCCCCCCCCCCCCCCCCTTTTTTTCAAGAAATAGATGGACTAACCCAATTTCAAAAGACAAAAAGAGGCGTCTTACGTAACGGGACAGCACGGGGTTTTGTATAATTATGGTGTTAATGCCCCTGATTTTGAACAAAGGCCATGATGGATGATTGAGACACGGCCGGGTGGTTGGGCGAGTGCACTTCTTACATGTGGCATCATCAAAGAGCACTGAGTCCATCCGCGTGCCAGCCGATGGACGTGTGGCTGGCGGGAAACAAGGTAATTGTTCACTTGACCGCGCGCATCCGTAAAGAACATTTTTTGAGAAATACAATGACCTCCCATATCAAAGCTATCAACATGTAAAGGTGCTGGAGGACGAGGTCTCAGGGCCTTGGGCGGGTGTTCGCACAGTCAAAGTATTCACTGCCGTATTTGCATTAATCAAAAACATCCATGGAAACCAAATCCAGATTTGCACGATTTCACCTTGAGCACGCGGCGTTCATTGTCAGCCCCCGTGTGCGTTTTCACCGGAGTGCTGAGAACAGTTAAGTAAGGCAGATGACTGCTAAAGCCCCTCATTTTTCCCCCCCGTTGGAGTCGCGCCTTCACACAAAAGACACAAGGTTGTCCTCGTGTTGCTGAGCAGCCGGATGAGCGAGGCGGGAAGTCGCTGCCCCGGCTTTAATCGCCGGCGTCAGAGCGGAATCATGGGCGAACAGGAAGTTAATGAAACGTTTTAATTATTCCACATGATTGTAGAACGTGACGAGCGTGTCGGGGAATCATTGGTTCACACAGGTGCGTCTCGGTAACACACGCACACACCTATAGTG